ACATATTTCATATTTTATTGTGATAGATATTATTTTTAATGTGATAAATATTAATTCTCTTCATACCGTATTGTCTCACAATTACCATAACTTTTAGGGTAAATTTTAAGAGAAAATTCTCTCAGTGTACCGATTAATTATTAAAAATTACTTGTAAAAAGGCACACGTTACTCGATGCGGACGACAATTGTTTACACGGCAAGGACACGACAACAGACTGCGGCGACGGACGACGCGACGCGTCGCGACGCTTCGCGACACGTCTAGACGATAACAATCACGCGGCGTTGCCGAACATGTGATTGACGCGAGACATGTATTAAAACGTATAATAATTATGTTATTAAAAAAGGCATATTATAACGTATTATAATTTTTTACGTTATAATACATTTTTTTTAATGACTTAACATTATCCGCCCGTTTTGCTCTTTCTTTTTAAGCGAGACGTGAGAAAAATGATTATGTTTTGCGAACAAGATGTTCCATGTATAAATGTATTGGTCGCTCTGAAAAGAGCGGATTGACTTTGGTCGCTCTGAAAAGAGCGGATTGACTTTGGTCGCTCTGAAAAGAGCGGATTAACTTTGGTCGCTCTGAAAAGAGCGGATTAATTTATAATAGGTGCTCAAAATGACCACCATCCATCCTTATGCAAGCTCTCATGCGTTTAAATAAATTTAATTGGACGTTCTCCATTACTTCCTCTTCGATATTCCAAATTACATATCGCAATCTGGTTTCTAAGTCGTCGACGTCCTCGGGAAGCGTCTTCGGGAAACGATTTACTTTTTTCAGAAAATTTTCGCATAACGTTCGTCTTGATAATCTTCTGGTCGTAAATATTGCACGCGTGTGTAATGAAATGCGTGCAACTTTTTTTCTTGTTTGCTCGAAAGGACGCTGCCAGTCTCGTTTTGTCTCTGAGTTCTTCGTATGACGGGAGCCGATTGATGATTGATTGCATTGTCGATCTGCATCTTATATTTATACGATTCGCGGGTGGCCGCTGTCGCGGGTGTCGCGTGCCGCTATTCGACGCGGAAGGCGTGGAGGGGGAAATCGCGACACCCCGCGGATTGTATAAATAAAATGAAGATTGATAATGCAAACAATAATCTTTCGATTATTACAAGAGTTAAGAGGACGATATGGCAGCGTACACAAACGAAGAATATTACGATATGCTAATGGCACTCGGCGAGTGTCATGGGCAGTATCACGTAGCTGCAAGAAGATACGCCGAATTATATCCAAATCAAGCAAGACATCCATCGGTTCCTGTTATACTTCGAGCAGCTCAGAGATTACACGAGACTGGCAGTGTCCTTCCGGATAAACACGATACTGGAAGAAATCGCAATGCAAGAAATTTGCGAAATACGGAGCGAATTGTACGTGCTTTCGAAGATAATCCTGAAACGAGTATTCGAGTGGTTGCTCGAGAACACAACTTTTCTTACTCGACGGTACAAAGAACGCTCAAAGAAGAAAAGTTGCACGCGTTTCATTATACACGCGTGCAACATTTACGAGCTGAAGATTATCAGGCAAGAAGAACATTTTGCGAAAATTTTTGAGACAAGTGGATCGAGATCCCAGATTTTCTTCCCGTGTGATATTCAGTGATGAATCACTATTCACACAAGAAGGTATTTTTAACTCGCACAATATGCATTATTGGAGCGAAGAAAATCCCAGAGTAACGCGGCTCAAAAATTTTCAAGTACGTTGGAAAATAAATATCTGGGCTGGAATAATGGGTACCCAAATACTTGGGCCCGTTATTCTATCAGATATTTTAACTGGCCAGACGTACGTGGAACTTTTGAAAGAAAATCTGCCCGATTTTTTAGAAGAAGTGCCACTATTTGAAAGAAATAAAATGTTCTTTCAACAAGACGGTGCTGGACCACACAACGCCAGGATTGTAACAAACTACTTGAACAAGCAGTTTCCTGGACGTTGGATGGGTCGGTATGGCCCGATACGTTGGCCCGCAAGATCCCCGGACCTTAATCCTCTTGATTTCTTTTTATGGGGATACTGTAAGGAATCAATATACAAAACGCTTCCCGAGGACGTCGACGACTTAGAAACCAGATTGCGATATGTAATTTGGAATATCGAAGAGGAAGTAATGGAGAACGTCCAATTAAATTTATTTAAACGCATGAGAGCTTGCATAAGGATGGATGGTGGTCATTTTGAGCACCTATTATAAATTAATCCGCTCTTTTCAGAGCGACCAAAGTTAATCCGCTCTTTTCAGAGCGACCAAAGTCAATCCGCTCTTTTCAGAGCGACCAAAGTCAATCCGCTCTTTTCAGAGCGACCAATACATTTATACATGGAACATCTTGTTCGCAAAACATAATCATTTTTCTCACGTCTCGCTTAAAAAGAAAGAGCAAAACGGGCGGATAATGTTAAGTCATTAAAAAAAATGTATTATAACGTAAAAAATTATAATACGTTATAATATGCCTTTTTTAATAACATAATTATTATACGTTTTAATACATGTCTCGCGTCAATCACATGTTCGGCAACGCCGCGTGATTGTTATCGTCTAGACGTGTCGCGAAGCGTCGCGACGCGTCGCGTCGTCCGTCGCCGCAGTCTGTTGTCGTGTCCTTGCCGTGTAAACAATTGTCGTCCGCATCGAGTAACGTGTGCCTTTTTACAAGTAATTTTTAATAATTAATCGGTACACTGAGAGAATTTTCTCTTAAAATTTACCCTAAAAGTTATGGTAATTGTGAGACAATACGGTATGAAGAGAATTAATATTTATCACATTAAAAATAATATCTATCACAATAAAATATGAAATATGTGTGATTAATTTTACTAAACTGTATAGTAAAATTAATCAAACATATTTTATATTTTCTTGTGATACATATTATTATTTTTAATATGATAAATAGTAGAGAAATTCTAATAAAATTCTTTCCACATCATAATGTCCTACGATTACCATAATTTTCTAGGTAAATTCTAAGAGAAAATTCTCTTAGATTGTGATTATGATTATCGTATCCTTGCCGTGTAAACTATTGCCGTCCGCATCGAGTAACGTGTGCTGTGCGCGCCGCGCGTTTTTACAAGTAATTTTTAATAATTAATCAAAACACTGAGAGAATTTTCTCTTAGAATTTACCCTAAAAGTTATAGTAATTGTAAGAGAATATGGTATGGAAAGAATTTTATTAGAATTTCTCTGATTAATAATTATCACATTCAAAATAATAATATTTATCACAATAAAATATAAAATATATTTCATTAATTTTACTTTACGGTTTAGTAAAATTAATAAAACATGTTTCATATTTTATTGTGATAGATATTATTATTTTGAATGTAATAAATATTAATTAGAGGAATTCTAATAAAATTTTTTCCATACAATATTATCCTACGATTACCACAATTTTCAGGGCAAATTCTAAGAGAAAATTCTCTCAGATTGTGATTATGTGTTGTAATTTGTAATCAGTTATTTATTACAATAATTTTTAATCAAGTGCGTGAGTCAAAGTGTCAATAGAATTTATTACAAAAAAATGATTTCATTATGCAGTGTGTCACAGTGTGTCAATATCGGATTGTATCCAGTCAGGCAACAATTATTCGTCAAAGGACATCAAACATCTCTACAAGGTAAGAATCAGTGAGAGAGAGAGAGAGAGAGAAAGAGAGAGTGTGTGTGTGTATACGCGTACACACACACGCACACACACACACACAAAACGCCGCGTGTAACAAACAGCTGATCGCTTCGAGCGCCCACGTAATCGCCCGCGTCGGATAATGTGTTGCGCCGCTCCTGATTACCGCCCGTACTCGTGCTGTAATTCGCTAACTATTTCTTTTTATATTTCAAAAACTAAGCTTCGGATAAAATTTTGGCAAAGGAAAAATCGTCTTAGAATTGAGTCAGAAATACGACATTTTAAGGACAAACGGTTGTTTTGAATCACCCTGTATATATATATATATATGAAATAAGGTTTTCTAGGATATTTTCTGGTAAGGTTTATGTTAAGGACCGTCAACACTTTTATTAAATTCGAGTCTATCTATTCTGTAAATTTATGTCGTTCAAATTGTCGTTCCGCCAAGTCGTTCGATCTTGCTTATTGTGTCAATATTTTTAAATTACTCGCGTTATTTGTGTCAGCCTCGCAGTAACGGCCGTCCTTTGTGATTATCGTCTTAAAAATTAAATATTTTGGCATGACTCTCGTCGACAGATTCTCGTTCGCGAAAGTACCCTTCGACTTGTTTTCAACGTCTCTTGTTTATTCGTTGTTCTATCACGACTTTCGCACGCAGAAAACACCTTGAAGTGTTTCCCGGTCAAACTGTTTTTTTGCTTCTTCTCGCATGGGCAAATTGAGGAGCGAACCGGCGTTCCCGCCGACTCTTTGTCAGAAGCCAACGAGAAATCATACGATCGAGATCGCGTCCGCACCTTGAGAATTCGAACAACTTGGCGGACTTATCGTTAGTAACGGGAACGCGGAACTCTATCTCAGTGTCGCGTCCGTGATACGATTCGCATCATTATATTTAATTCGGACAAAGTGAATAAATGACAGTGTTGTTAATTTGATTCAACCATGGTGCATTTATAAATCTGTTCCTCTCGCTCGCTCCCGTCTTCAATCTTCAGTCTCGCGGTCGCGGTCCACTATCATTCTGTCTCTCTCTTTCCTTCTCAACGTTCTATCACTCTGTCTCTCTCGCTCCTTCTCAACGCTATACCGCCGTCTCTCTCATCGCACATTCATCCCGCGTTCTCGCGGAGCGGAACCCGCCGCACGCGTTCACGACATTCGAGTGAAAATCCTCGAATCACGAACATAAATTTTGGTCCTTCGAGCCGGATCGGGGTGACTCTGTGCGGATCTGTTCTGTGGCCTCCTCCACTCCAGCGCGGTGACAGGCGCCTACCTCGAAGCAAGGAGAGTTCAAAGCGAGCTTTACCATGAGCGAGCCTCTGGCGCAGCAGATCATTCTGCTGCAAACTATCGAGCGAAGTCTCACTAATTTTAAGAAGATCGGCAAGAACAATTACACTGCCGCAAAAATTCGGCAACGGATCGGGACCTTGAAGGAGAACTGGACTACCTGTGTGAACAAACACGCCAACCTCGTGCAGATCGTCCCACTAGAGCAACGAGCTAACATCAGCTACTTCCGAGACGCCGAGTTCGAGCGTCACCAGGAGATTTACGAAGGCACGCTGGACTACATGGCCGACTGCCTCGAGGAGCTGGAACCTGCACCATCGATGTCATCGTCTCCGCTGCATCCGATGAGTACAATAGATCGTTCATCTTTCTCGCTCACGCATTTACCGCCGATTAAACTCCCGCCCTTTTCCGGGAACCTCGATGAATGGGAATCTTTTCGAGATCGATTTACTTCGCTTATTATTCAAAACCAAGATCTCACTCCCTTTTCGCGTATGCATTTTTTAGCCTCAAGCCTTACTGGTCGCGCGTTAGATACCATTAAATCTATTCCGATTACTGCTACGAATTTCGAGATCGCGTGGAAAACACTCGCCTCACGCTTTGATAATAAGCGCCGATTAGTCGAAGTGCACGTATCCGCCTTATTCGATCTTCCGACGGCTACGCGCGAGTCCGCGTGCGAACTCAACAAACTTCGCGACAAAGCGAATCGGGCTATCGCCTCGCTGAGAGCTCTTCAGCGGTCGCCCGAGGAGATGCTCAGTGACATTCTCGTTCACTGCGTGTCGCAAAAATTGGATCATGCTACTCGGAAGGCATGGCGATTGAAAACCGGTGAGGACCCGCAAATTCCGTTGTTCGAAGCTCTCGATCGGTTCCTCGAGATGCGTGTTCGCGCGCTTGAAGAATTGTCACCGTCGAAAGCGGAAAAAATGCGTGGGCAAAAGGTGTCAAGCGCGTCAGCGACCGTTTCAAAACTCGCGTGTCCTTTGTGTCAAGCTGCGCATTTTTTGAGTAAATGCCCGCAATTCTTGAAGAAGACGCCGAGTCAGCGATCTGAACTCATTAAATCAGCACATCGCTGTATTAATTGTTTGAGCTCGAAGCACGCCGTGCAAGCGTGCCCGAGCAAATACTCATGTCGAATCTGTCAAAATAGACATCACTCGATGCTACATTCTGACTCGACCTCTTCTTCTAGCAATCCAAACTCAACGACCGTGTTAAACGCGACGTCGGATAAAAAAGAAAACGACTCAGTAACGGCACTATTTTCTACTTCGACGGTAACCGCGCGCAAAAATGTACTACTCGCGACCGCCCGTGTTGCTGTTTTTTCTCCGTCGGGTCGTACACTCAACGTGCGAGCGCTCCTTGATCAAGGCTCAGAAATCACCTTTATCACAGAGCGTCTCGCTCAAAATTTAAAATTGCAACGCGTTCGATTGCCTCTTTCGATTTCCGCCGTCGGCGGCGTAGATGCGGGCACTTGTCGTTTCGCCGCTCAAGTCAAGATCGCTCCGATCAATTCTAACTCACCGGTGTTAACGACGACCGCGTCGATACTCAAAGTTTTAACTAAATACTCGCCATCAAAGGCATTCTCTCTGTGCGATTGGAGCTATCTTCAGGATCTTGCGCTCGCGGATCCGACTCCCGTCAGTGCCGAATCTATCGACCTCATCATCGGTGCGGACCTTTATCCCGAATTATTGCTCGACGGTATTCGGAAGGGAACGAGCGGACAACCGATCGCCCAGCGGACGATCTTCGGCTGGGTCCTCTCAGGCCCCACGTCGGATGCCGGTGCGCCGCATCGATCGGTTACCGTGCAGCATTGCGCGAGCGCGGATAATCTCGATCGAGAACTCAGATGTTTCTGGGAAGTCGAAGAAGTGCCGCGTCGCGCGCTTCTCAGCCCAGAAGAACAACAGTGCGAACAGCACTTCGCACAAACACATTCGCGCGATGCTGACGGTCGGTACGTCGTGCGTCTGCCGTTCAGGCGCGGTCCACCAATCGACATTGGTGAATCGCGTTTTATCGCCGAGCGTTCACTCTCCAGTCTTCACCGACGATTTCGGTCGAACGCTGTTCTCAAATCCGAATACGTCGATTTCTTGCGCGAATACGAAGCGCTCGGTCATATGCGTCAAATTCCGGATTCCGTTCTTTCCGCTCAGCACGTATATATTCCGCATCATCCTGTCATCCGAGACAGCAGTCTCACTACGCGATTGAGAGTCGTTTTTAACGCGTCAAGTCGAACGACAAACTCGACTTCGTTAAACGATCATTTGCATGCAGGTCCGAAACTCCAGACGGAGTTACCTGCAGTGATCTTGCGATGGCGGCAATTCCGGTATGTATATGCGGCGGACATCGCGAAGATGTACCGCCAAATCCGTGTTGACTCTCGTGACATCGACTTCCAGCGAATCTTATGGAGCGCCGGCTGCTCAGATACCGGGCAGTCCTATCAACTGACCACGGTTACTTACGGGACAGCGTGCGCGCCCTTTCTCGCTCTTCGGGTTATACAACAGCTCGTGACGGACGAAGGCAGCTCGTTTCCTCTTGCCGCGCCGGTCCTGCATGAGAACATCTACGTCGATGATGTTCTGTTCGGTGCCGATGATATTCCGCTTCTCAAACAAACTCGCGATCAGGTCTGCGCTTTGCTCGGTCGGGGACGGTTCGAATTGAGAAAATGGTCGAGCAATTCCGCTGCTCTGCTGAACGATATCGAGGTCGACAACCACGGCCTCGCGTGCGATCGCACTCTTCGAATCGACGAACATCTAAGAATCTTAGGCATAAGCTGGAGCCCATCTTCCGATATGTTTCACTTTACCGTAACTCATATTCCGTCCGTTTCAAAAACCAAGCGGTCAATACTCTCGTACGTTGCCAAATTGTTTGATCCAATGGGGTGGTGCACGCCAGTAACAATCGCTGCCAAGATCTTTATGCAACAATTGTGGCAGCTTAAACTCAACTGGGACGATGTCCTTCCGACTGACGTCCGGCAAAAGTGGGAAGCCCTTCAGGCCTCACTTGCCGATCTCCACGGTCTCCAACTGAATCGATGGATTCAGCGAGGGTCTGACACTGTCCGCTGCGAATTGCACGGATTTTCTGACGCGTCCACTCACGCATACGCAGCGGCCGTGTATCTTCGGCTCACTTCTCTCTCTGGCGAAATCTCTTCTCACTTGCTAATAGGCAAGTCAAAGGTCGCTCCGATCAAGTCCCTCAGTATTCCTCGGCTGGAATTATGCGCAGCCGGATTGTTGGCTCGACTACTCGAATTCGTGCGAACCACTCTTGGTCTCGCCACCTCCCCGTGCTATTGCTGGACAGACTCAACTGTCGTTTTAGCGTGGGTCACGCAACAACCGGCCAAATGGAAGACGTTCGTCGCGAATCGCGTATCAGAGATACAATCGCGCGTTCCGAACGCGGTGTGGAACCACGTTCCCACCGATGAAAATCCCGCACATTGCGCATCTCGCGGAATCGCCGGGTCTCTCCTTCGAACTCACCCACTCTGGTGGTGCGGCCCCGCATGGTTGCGTAACCCGATCGACGAGCCGTCGACTTCTCGATCGCACAATTTCGATACTCAAATCGAACAAAAGGAGAGTATTCAGTCTCATTTAGCTTCGACGGAACTTGACTGCGACTTTACGATGAGATTTTCGTCGTGGCCTCGGTTAATTCGCGTAACAGCGTATATAATGCGCTTCATCAATAAAACTCGGAAGCAGTCGATTCCCGTTGACGACGTTAGGGAGAACACACTAGCGTTATCAGCCCGCGAATGTCAACTCGCGAAAGAGTTTGTTCTGAGACGGATTCAGAAAGAGCTCTTCCCTCTCGAGTTCGCTGCGCTCACAAGTCAACGAGCCATATCCTCGAAAAGCTCGATTCTGTCGCTCAACCCTTTCCTCGGCGAGGATGGATTAATCCGTGTTGGCGGGCGGCTTTCGCACGCGCCGCTTTCCTTTTCCGTTAAACACCCGATTATTCTTGCCTCGCATCCGCTAGTCGCTTTGGTTCTGTATCACGTGCATTTAAAATCTCTACACGCAGGTCTACAATTAACGCTCGCTACGCTACGACGCGAGTATTGGGTCCTGCGCGCCCGAAGTCTCGCCAAACTCACTATTTTTCGCTGCGTTATTTGTACTCGAGAAAGGGCCACGATTCCTTTCCAACAGATGGGTGATCTGCCTCGCGTGCGGGTGACTCCTCCCGCACGCGCTTTTCTCAATTGCGGACTGGATTACGCTGGTCCGGTGCTCGTACGATCCTTGTCTGGTCGCGGAATCCCGTCACGAAAAGCGTATATCGCGATTTTTATTTGCATGGCGACTCGCGCCATTCATTTGGAGCTCGTGGAGGGCTACTCAACCTCAGCGTTTATCGGCGCGTTTTCTCGATTTTGCGCTCGACGCGGCCTGCCCTCGGCCATGTATTCAGATAATGGCACGAATTTTGTGGGCGCCGAACGCGAGCTTACCGCCGCGTTTCGCGCAGCTATCAGGGACCCGGACTTTCTCAATCGAACCGCTTCCGATCGAATCACGTGGCACTTTATGCCACCTTCCGCTCCTCATTTCGGCGGATTATGGGAGGCGGGAGTACGGAGTGTAAAGCACCATCTCCGTCGAGTGATTGGGGCTCATACTCTCACATTTGAGGAATTCTCAACAGTCTTATGCAATGTGGAGGCGTGTCTCAATTCCCGACGGCTCGCTCCTCTCAACGACTCGGTCGACGATTATGAACCGTTAACTCCCGGGCATTTTTTGATCGGCTCGGCCCTGACCGCAGTTCCCGAACCTTCCGTTTTGAATCTTCGCGAAAATAGACTGTCGCGCTGGCAACTCGTGCGCCAGATCTCAGAAAGATTCTGGAAGTTATGGCTTGACGACTATGTAAATACGTTACAACAGCGCGTCAAGTGGAAACGACCTGCCAAAACCGAGATCCGCGTCGGTCAACTCGTCTTATTGCGTAACCCTCTACTTCCCCCTTGCAAATGGGAGCTCGCTCGCGTACTACGATGTCACACGGGTCAAGACGGATTAACTCGCGTTGTTACGGTGAAGACTGCGGCGTCCGAGTATAAGCGACCGATTAATAAGCTATGCCTGCTTCCAATCGATATCGAGAAGCTGGAGCCTCCGACGTAAAGCGACTTCACGCTCCCGATTTCAAAGGAAATCATACGTACTCTCGATATTCCGATCGCCTCGTTAAATTCTTCTAAATGTTCTCTTAGTTTTGTACTCATAGCATACATTTCAAAACGATAGTTTCGAGGCGAGCGGTATGTTAAGGACCGTCAACACTTTTATTAAATTCGAGTCTATCTATTCTGTAAATTTATGTCGTTCAAATTGTCGTTCCGCCAAGTCGTTCGATCTTGCTTATTGTGTCAATATTTTTAAATTACTCGCGTTATTTGTGTCAGCCTCGCAGTAACGGCCGTCCTTTGTGATTATCGTCTTAAAAATTAAATATTTTGGCATGACTCTCGTCGACAGATTCTCGTTCGCGAAAGTACCCTTCGACTTGTTTTCAACGTCTCTTGTTTATTCGTTGTTCTATCACGACTTTCGCACGCAGAAAACACCTTGAAGTGTTTCCCGGTCAAACTGTTTTTTTTGCTTCTTCTCGCATGGGCAAATTGAGGAGCGAACCGGCGTTCCCGCCGACTCTTTGTCAGAAGCCAACGAGAAATCATACGATCGAGATCGCGTCCGCACCTTGAGAATTCGAACAACTTGGCGGACTTATCGTTAGTAACGGGAACGCGGAACTCTATCTCAGTGTCGCGTCCGTGATACGATTCGCATCATTATATTTAATTCGGACAAAGTGAATAAATGACAGTGTTGTTAATTTGATTCAACCATGGTGCATTTATAAATCTGTTCCTCTCGCTCGCTCCCGTCTTCAATCTTCAGTCTCGCGGTCGCGGTCCACTATCATTCTGTCTCTCTCTTTCCTTCTCAACGTTCTATCACTCTGTCTCTCTCGCTCCTTCTCAACGCTATACCGCCGTCTCTCTCATCGCACATTCATCCCGCGTTCTTCCGGAGCGGAACCCGCCGCACGCGTTCACGACATTCGAGTGAAAATCCTCGAATCACGAACAGTTTATGTATTTTCAGGACTTTAGGTAATTTCCAGACCCGTTTTAAACATTTTTGGCATGCGATGGTTATTTCCAGAACTGTTCTGGAAATATACAATTATTTCTTTAGGACCTTGGTTTTCTATAAATATATATACGAGTATATATATATATATATATATATATATAATTTATCCAGGACCGTCCTGGAAATATACAACACATACAAGTTGTTTTTTCAGGACAGTCCTGGAAATTACCATCGCATGCCAAAAATATCCAGGACGAGCCTGGAAATTACCAAGAGTCCTGGAAATACGTAAAATTTACCAAAAAATGTCTTGGGAAAGCTCAATACATACACACACATATATATATATATATATATATATATATATAATATGCTATCCGTGCTATCTCACACAATGTGAAATACCAATATTCTATTTTATAAGTAGAGATTTCTACAACTTATCTCGGTAGGTGTTGTTATGCAATAAAATAATTGTCTTTTATATTTTTTTATTTTGTCATGGAATCATGGAATACAAAATACATAATACGTCTGTGGAATAGTTATTTGACTGTGTAAAGTAAAATAATGGCACGTCTATCTTATTTAGATAACATTTATTTTTTGTTTCAAAATGAAGAAAAATATACTAAGAAAATAAACTATATATCAGGAGACGCGGTAGTGTCTCCGGCCATGTTCAAACCCTAAAAGACCTTAAAAGACACTACAAGTCTCCTTATCCTGCACCATCAAAGTCCATTTTTTGGGGGTGTAGAACTACTAAAATATAAAAAATTTTGAATTGCACGTAATATAACCTGAAAGGCGGCATCGCCACGAGTAATTTGAGCCAAGAAAAAATAAAATCGGTCAAGCCGTTCTGGAGATACAAGCGGTCAAAAAGTGACGTTTTTCATGAAAAATGAAGTAACGTCGTCTTCTTCTTCTTCTTCTTCTTCTTCTTCTTCTTCTTCTTCTCTGTCCGCGTATAAATCTCTTTCACCTTTCACTCACACCTCCTTCAACTTCTTTCCCTCCCACATGTCACACCTCTCTCACCCTCTTTCCTCTCTCACCCTCTTTCACACATTCTCTCTCACCCCTTTCACCCTCTTTCACACACCCTCTTTCGTCCTCTCTCACACCCTCTTTCATTCTCTCCACCCTCCACCCTCTTTCACCCTCAACCCTCTTTCACTCACCCTCACCCTCTTTCGTCCTCTTTCACCTTTTTTCACTCTCTTTCGTCCTCTCTCACCCTCTTTCATTCTTTCTCACCTCTCTCATCCTCTTTCGATTTCGACCTTTTTCACACTCTTTCGTCCTCTCTCACCCTCTTTCTCCTCTTTCACCCTCTTTCGTTCTCTCTCACCCTCTTTCGACCTCTTTCGTCCTCTTTCACCCTCTTTCGTCCTCTCTCACCCTCTCTCACCTCTTTCACCCTCGTACGTCCTTTCTCACCCTCTTTCGTTCTCTTTCACCCTCTTTCGCCTATCTCGTCTTCTCTTACCCTCATTCGTCCTCTCTCACCCTATCTTCAAAAAATCATAAAAATGAAAAGGTCAAGCCATGTTCAAAAGAAGGTCCTCAAAAATTTAAACCTAGTCTGTACAATGAAAAATAATTACTCGTAATTCCAGAGTTCCAATTTGTTAATATCGAATAATGTATTTGTTTCAAGTAATGGCAGTAGAGTCAAATACATACCTACGTATATGCAGTTTTTGCTGTTAATTGTACTTGAACGAAAAAAATAATTAAATGATTTAAATATAGCACATTTTAAATCAAGAAACTTATATAATCGAACTCTGTTTAGAAAAAGGTAGAACATTTCATTTGCCTCTGCCTTTACAAGAAACATTGGATAAGGTATGTCCTCCGGAAGATCCTATAAATTTGAATCACGAGTTGCACATTCTCGTTCGAGGTATACCCAAGAAATCTAAAGTGGTTTGGGAAAATTTGGTAGATATTAATAAAATGTATAAGGCTTTACAATGGTTGAAAGAAAATAATCCTCATTACTCAAAAATTCGTCTTCCAGCGTCATCTGATGATCTATTAAAGGATAAGTTGCAGGAAACAGAATATAGGATTGTCGATGAGGAAAGCGACAATGACGAAATAAATGAGGTGGTTGAGGAATTACCAGCATTGAATTTGTACAATGTACAGCAAAACAAAAATAATAATGATCAAACCGTTTTAAAACGTACGGCTTTTCTCACACAAATCACTGAACATTCGGATATTAACGATCAGTATACAATATACCCAATACACGCGAAAAGAATCGATAACGAATCTGCATTGAAGCTTTATCAAATGGTGAAAATTGAAGATTTTCCAATGGATAATCGTTATAAATATCTGGATGTCATGTGTTTCCCTGATTTATATCCTGATGGTGTCAATGGACAACGAGAAGATAGAAACTTTGCATTGCCGGAATATTTATTTATTAGAACACGATTGATGTCGAAACATAGTAGATTCAGGTTGAATCTGCAGTATCTGTTCTTCCTTCTCAATGATGCTAACTACCGACAGTTGAAAAGTGGTATCTATTATACGATGATGGTTACTAACCCACGAGAGAGATACACTGCTGGTAGATACTTGAACGAATTGAAAGGTTACCAATTAGAATCGAATTTAATGAGTATTTTCGCAAAATTGAGAAATACGGATCAATTTTGGCGACAACCGTCCAATAATGTAAAATGCATGACTTTGCATTACGGTCCAGCGACGTGGTTTTTGACTTTGAGTCCTAGTGAATGGAAATGGTCCGATTTGGGTGAATATTTACGAGATATGAATCCCGATAAAGAGAAGTTAGGCATCAACGAACTAATCGCATACGATCCTGTAAGTACTTCTAGATTCATGTGCATAAAATTCAAAGCCATGATTGATTTTATTTGTTCGTCCGATAATCCTATAGGAAAGGTTATTCATTACTTCTGGCGACTGGAATATCAACGTAGAAGTATCCAGCACATGCATTGTATGATTTGGATAAAAGATGCTCCAGTATTAGGAAAATCGCCGGATGAAGAAGTTGCTACGTTTATTCAAAAATACGTAACGTGTGAAATTCCAGATGAAAATGTTTCGCCAACGTTGTACGATACGGTAATAAGTGATCAGAATCATAAACATAACTCGTATTGCATGCGTACGAAAAAAACGGAAACTAATATATACAGAAAGTGTCGGTTCGATTTTCCTCGGCCAGTTACTGAGAATTTCGTTTTAAGAGACGTTATCACTTCGATAGTCGGTAGAAAAAATTTACGCAGTAAGAGCAGATTGTACGATCTTCCTCGCAAGGAGTCGGAAAGGTTTATAAATGATTATAATCCGTCTATCAAATTAGCCTGGAAGGGAAATATGGACATACAATTTATTAGAGAAAAATCAGAGTTTTTAAACTCATATTTAACAAAATACACGACAAAGTCGGAAAAATGCAATACAGACTTTGAAGTGATAGATTCGAATAAGTCCTTGGCATCGAAACTGTGGAATTTTGCAATGCGTTCATTAAATAACAGAGAATGCGGTGCTTTAGAAGCTGCGGATACACTATTAGGGAATCCCTTGTACGGTACGGATAATGATACCATGGTCAAATGGATCGATGTTAATGAGGTGAGAAATAGAAAAGTTAAAACATTTAATGAAATTTAAGCTCTTGATGAAAATTCTACGAATATTTACTGTTCGTCACTCATCGATGATTACTATCCAAATAGACCTCAGGAATTAGAATCATTGAATTTGTACGATTTTGCCAGATTCTGGGAAATTACGAAACAGATGTCAAATAATGACGAAGTCAAGTGTTACAAACTGGCATCGGGTTTATTTTTAAAAAAACGAAAAAAAGGTTATTTAATTAACCATTATCGATTTAATATAAAAACTGAGCCCGAAAAATACTTTTACTCGCTGCTTCTTCTGTTCAAACCATGGAGAGATTTGAGTGAACTCAAAGGTACATTCGAGACTTACACGGATGCCTTTAA